CCGAGTGTTGTGTATATACCGAGTGTTGTGTATATACTGAGTGTTGTGTATATACCGAGTGTTGTGTATATACTGAGTGTTGTGTATATACCGAGTGTTGTGTAATATGAGTGTTGTGTATATACCCAGTGTTGTTATAACGAGTGTTTTTGATATACCGAGTGTTGTGTATATACCGAGTGTTGTGTATATACCGAGTGTTGTGTATATACCGAGTGTTGTGTATACACCGAGTGTTGTGTATACACTGAGCGTTGTGTATACACCGAGTGTTGTGTATATACCGAGTGTTGTGTATACACCGAGAGGTGAGCATTTCTCAGTGTATATATGCTGAGAGTTTAGTATAAACCCTGTCTTAGGGATTCCAGTATTCTTGACTGGTGGTCAACAGTGAGTAACGCAGCCTCGACGACCCTCGGGTAGTCACTTGACTGGTGGTCAACAGTGAGTAACGCAGCCTCGACGACCCTCGGGTAGTCACTTGACTGGTGGTCAACAGGGGTAACGCAGCCTCGACGACCCTCGGGTAGTCACTTGACTGGTGGTCAACAGGGGGTAACGCAGCCTCGACGACCCTCGGGTAGTCACTAGGTTTTAAACCCAACTAGCCAACCAACTACTTGTTGTACAGAGGAACATAACATTTCTTCCAAGTTCACAAATAACTCAGCCTTTGCACGTAAACCCCTCAAGGAAGGTTCCTTGATGTTGGTGAGGGGCTCTTGATTTAGGGAATTGGATCTGTGCTTCAGTTCCCCGAATTAAGCCTGAATGCCTTCCACATCCCCCCCCCCAGGCGCCGTATAATCCTCCGGGTTTAGCGCTACCCCCTTAATTATAATAATAATAATTTGCACGTAAAACTCCAGACATTGCGACAATATTCACAACGAAATCACAAGTGATTTTAAAACTACTCTGTTTGGATATGGTTTTCTTTTATTTAAAAAATATCTCATAACCCTGTTTTGTTGTTCTTTCTGAATATAATATTAATATTATATTATTAATAATAATAATATCTTAATTTACTACAAGTAATTTACAAGTATACAGATCTAGGTGATATCAGTGACTACAAATATATAGAAAGCCCGGTAAATTAGGTCCGTTTTGTCCCAGGATGCGACCCACACCAGTCGACTAACACCCAGGTACTCATTTTACTGATGGGGAACATAGACAAGTGGTGTAAGGAAACACGCCCAATGTTTCTACCTTCGCCGGAAGTCGAACCCGGACCCTCGCCGTGTGAAGCGAGAGCTTTAGCCTCCAGGCCTCAAATTTCTCCCATTTCCTTCTTACTAAAAAGTTCTGCTTGCATTTTACAACAGTGGCTGTTCCTGCAGCCTGTGTGCTGCCCCCGAGGTGCACTAGCAATAGTCACCCTGCAGACGACTATGTGCCTCAGGCGGTCAGATCCCACCTTTGTTTTTCCGCGGGATTTCTGCACTCCGGAAGCCTTCCCTCTGGGTGTCCCAGGAGGCCGCGGCGGCCAGGGTCTGCTGCTGCAGAATAATGGCCTCACGTACATAAAATGTTAAGGAGGAGCACTGCAGCGGGCCTACCAGCTCATTACTTGGCAGGTCTGTGTCAAACCCTAACCCACTAAAAAATATTCGCCCAACCCTTTATAAGAACATAAGAAAGAAGGAACACTGCAGCAGGCCTACTGGCCCATGCGAGGCAGGTCCTACCGGCTTAAGCCAATGCACCCAACCTAGTCAGGTCAGGTCACATTCACTTAAGGAAGGAACACGGCAACTGACCCAATAGCACAAGCACAATGTTACCAAAGGAATAAGTTTTGACAACCCTTTTAAAAGGGATGATAATCCTTTTAAAAGGGATGATACCTATTAAAGCTTAATAACCGTTATTCCCCGTGCACCAATGCTTCCAATTATTCATGTACCTTAAAGGCCTAACGCTGTTTTTTAGATAAGGCTGCTACCTAATTTCTCTTCGTGCGGGGCCACACCGGAAAACTTATTTACACATGGCTATTATTCAATAAGATCCAGTAAACAAGTGATATCACAATACGCAAAACAACCACTGTGAAACAGGTGATATCACAATACGCAAAACAACCACTGTGAAACAGGTGATATCACAATACGCAAAACAACCACTGTGAAACAACAGAGAACCTCCAAGCTCTTGATAATGTGAGAAATCACGAAAACACTTGGAAGTTCTCAATTTTTCTGACAGTGAGGAAATGGTATGGTGATACCGACAAGATGTGGAAAAAGACATTTATGTACAGTTCAGGACATTTATTAAAGGAAACGTTTAGCCACGAGTGGCTTCTTCAGTCCTGAACTGTACATAAATGTCTTTTTCCACATTTTCTGACAGTACTTGTTGCACACATGTACTGTTATGTAAGACCATTGTAAACATCTAAACCCGTGTCATGTAAATTAACCAATTTTAGCGGAATGTTAACACAATCAAAAGTGCATAACCTAGCAAATAGTCTCTCTGGAAGTAAGAGCTGACTAACCATACCACGGGTGGGGTTTGAACCCGCGGTCAGAGAGTCTCGAAACTCCAGGCCGTCGAGGGTTCAAACCCCACCCGTGGTATGGTTTGTTTGCAATCGTGTCATTACGATTTCGTGAGTCAACAGCTGACTGTTTAACACTAGCTAGGACCCTCTGTAATGCACTGTTTTTACAAAGGTTTTAAATTACGCTACGAAGATAAAGGTACTCCTTAGAGAACGAGTTGCTTACTGTCATGTACTCCCTTGAATTACTTGAGTTCTAACAGATGATCAGACCAAATGTAATGTGGCCAGTCCCATGGTTACTATCTTGAACACTGTATGCTTGTGTACGAATGGTATATAATACCGACAAGATGAGATTAAGACACATGTGCAACATCTGGGTATCTTTATTGTAGACGTTTCGCCATCCAGTGGCTTTATCAATACAAATTCTAGGACATAACTTGAAGACAGTAAAACTATGTACAGAAGATGAGGTAATCAGTCCCTCAACCTAGGAGTAGATGCGAACAGCACCATAGTCGTGGAGATTCTGAAGCAGAAAAAAGGAGCCTGGCGCTTGTATAGTAACGTCAGGTGTAGCAGACGAGGGCATATTCACTGGTAGGCGGATTTGTATTGATAAAGCCACTGGATGGCGAAACGTCTACAATAAAGATACCCAGATGTTGCACATGTGTCTTAATCTCATCTTGTCGGTATTATATACCATTCGTACACAACTTGTCAGACACTGCAACATCATGGAATCTTAATTCTGAGGACATGTACATAACCTTCACGACTACGACAACTATTACTACAACTAACCCATCTCTTTGGGAAGGACCTACTTCCACTGGGGAATCCCGCCTACCAGTGAATATGCCCTCGTCTGCTACACCTGACATTACTATATAAGCGCCAGGCTCCTTTTTTCTGCTTCAGAATCTCCACGACTATGGTGCTGTTCGCATCTACTCCTAGGTTGAGGGACTGATTACCTCATCTTCTGTACATAGTTTTACTGTCTTCAAGTTATGTCCAAGAATTTGTATTGATAAAGCCACTGGATGGCGAAACGTCTACAATAAAGATACCCAGATGTTGCACATGTGTCTTAATCTCACACTGTGTGCTTGACTCACGAAATCGTAATGACAGTCTCAAAACTCCAGACCGTCGCGTTAGCCACTAGACCAGCTAGCCACAATAAGATTCGTCCAACTAGGTATATTTCTACACCATAGCAAGGTTAGCACAGGCACCACTGTGACCACAATGCAAGTTTTTTAAATGGTCGAATGGTCCGCTACATTTTGGCGGTTAGTGGAGACTTGAGCTAGACGTCGAGTTGTCACGCCAATGCTAGCTGGTTAGATTTCTGAAAAACTTGCATTGTGGTCAGTGGTGCCTGTGCTAACCTTGCTTGGTGTAGAAATATCCCTAGTTGGACGAATCTTATTGTGGCTAGCTGGTCTAGTGCTAACGCGACGTCTGGAGTTTGAGACTCTGCCGCGGGTTCAATCCCGGCCGGGGTAGGGATGTGTGCTTAATGTCCATTGAGGAACTCGACAGTATATTGTGTGACATGTCAAGAATCTTATTCTGAAATTGGATCCAGATATATTAAGTAAATTTCCTAAATTTGCTTGTAACCAGATAAGTGAACTGTATGTAAATCCGTGTATCCTGTTAACCTTTTGGGGCCTAGTTGCTGTGTGTTTTGGTATCTATATGTCTTGCGGTACTCCACAGGGTGGGTAGGGGCATCAATAAACTAGCTAATTGGTGGCAAATTCAAATCTAATCTTTTGTTTCCCACGGGTTCTACTGTTCCTTTATTTCCCACGGTTTCTGTTCCTTTTATTTTGTTTGTGACGTCCATTCTATTTTTTCAACATCCACACCTGCTTCTCTCTTTCCACAGGGTTTTGCAAGGTTAGGTTCCGGTTCTTAAATTTACAAACTAAGAGCTGTTACCTCTCTCTCTCTCTCTCTCTCTCTCTCTCTCTTTCGTTATCATACAGTCGCCTCTTCCACGTTAACGAGACCCATCCTCACTCCTTGCTTTATCATCATACTTGCTCCCTGCTCTTTACTCTATGAAATATAATAATAAATACAGGCAGCTAGCGGTGTATCAACCTCCACCTCTGCTGCTACTTTCCTCTGTCCTCTGAAGAGGACAGTAATATACATTTGCCTGTTACTTAACATGATGGACGTGAGGCTCTTAATGAGGTGCCCGAGGAAAAAGTCACAGGAAAAAAGTCATAATTTTGGCTAGAAAAAAAAGGTCACTGGAAACAAGATCACATTTGCTAAGGTTATGACTGTTCCTGTGGCTCTTTCTCGTGGCTCTGTTACTGAAAGTAGGGCGCATGAAAGGCCGCTGTGCCTGCCACCTGCGCTGTGCCTTCCTCCTGCGCTGTACCTGCCTCCTGCAGGTGCAGGCACAACAGCGGCAGCAGCAGCAGCAGGAAGCAACACTCACCTGCTATAGCAACGGGGAACAGCGTGTAGAAGTTGATAGGCGCAGTGCGGTACCACAGGGTCTCTGTACCGTTGGCTGCGATGGTCAGAACACAGCTACACACCGCCATGCTTAGGATCCTGTAATAAGGGTTAACTAAGCTTCAATAGGGATTACCTAAGCTTCAATAGGGGTTAACTGAGCTTCAATAGGGGTTAACTAAGCTTCAATAGGAATTAACTGAGCTTCAATAGGGGTTAACTAAGCTTCAATAGAGGTTAACTAAGCTTCAATAGGGGTTAACTAAGCTTCAATAGGGGTTAACTAAGCTTCAATAGGGGTTAACTAAGCTTCAACAGGGGTTAATTAAGCTTCAATAGAGGTTAACTAAGCTTCAATAGGGGTTAACTAAGCTTCAATAGGAATTAACTGAGCTTCAATAGGGGTTAACTAAGCTTCAATAGAGGTTAACTAAGCTTCAATAGGGGTTAACTAAGCTTCAATAGGGGTTAACTAAGCTTCAATAGGGGTTAACTGAGCTTCAATAGGGGTTAACTAAGCTTCAATAAGAATTAACTGAGCTTCAATAGGGGTTAACTAAGCTTCAATAGAGGTTAACTAAGCTTCAACAGGGGTTAACTAAGCTTCAATAGAGGTTAACTAAGCTTCAATAGGGGTTAGCTAAGCTTCAATAGGGCTTAACTAAGCTTCAATAGGGGTTAACTAAGCTTCAATAGGGCTTAACTAAGCTTCAATAGGGCTTAACTAAGCTTCAATAGGGGTTAACTAAGCTTCAATAAATGTTAACTAAGCTTCAATAGAGGTTAACTAAGCTTCAATAGGGGTTAACTAAGCTTCAATAGGGGTTAACTAAGCTCCAACAGGGTTAACTATGCTTCAATAGGGGTTAACTAAGCTTCAATAGGGGTTAACTAAGCTTCAATAGGGGTTAACTAAGCTTCAGTAGGGGTTAACTAAGCTTCAATAGAGGTTAACTAAGCTTCAATAGGGGTTAACTAAGCTTCAATAGGGGTTAACTAAGCTTCAATAGGGGTTAACTAAGCTTCAATAGGGGTTAACTAAGCTTCAATAGGGGTTAACTAAACTTCAATAGGGGTTAACTAAGCTTCAACAGGGGTTAACTAAGCTTCAATAGAGGTTAACTAAGCTTCAATAGGGGTTAGCTAAGCTTCAATAGGGCTTAACTAAGCTTCAATAGGGGTTAACTAAGCTTCAATAGGGCTTAACTAAGCTTCAATAGGGCTTAACTAAGCTTCAATAGGGGTTAACTAAGCTTCAATAGAGGTTAACTAAGCTTCAATAGGGGTTAACTAAGCTTCAATAGGGGTTAACTAAGCTCCAATAGGGGTTAACTATGCTTCAATAGGGGTTAACTAAGCTTCAATAGGGGTTAACTAAGCTCCAACAGGGGTTAACTATGCTTCAATAGGGGTTAACTAAGCTTCAATAGGGGTTAACTAAGCTTCAATAGGGGTTAACTAAGCTTCAGTAGGGGTTAACTAAGCTTCAATAGAGGTTAACTAAGCTTCAATAGGGGTTAACTAAGCTTCAATAGGGGTTAACTAAGCTTCAATAGGGGTTAACTAAGCTTCAATAGGGGTTAACTAAGCTTCAATAGGGGTTAACTAAACTTCAATAGGGGTTAACTAAGCTTCAACAGGGGTTAACTAAGCTTCAATAGAGGTTAACTAAGCTTCAATAGGGGTTAGCTAAGCTTCAATAGGGCTTAACTAAGCTTCAATAGGGGTTAACTAAGCTTCAATAGGGCTTAACTAAGCTTCAATAGGGCTTAACTAAGCTTCAATAGGGGTTAACTAAGCTTCAATAGAGGTTAACTAAGCTTCAATAGGGGTTAACTAAGCTTCAATAGGGGTTAACTAAGCTCCAATAGGGGTTAACTATGCTTCAATAGGGGTTAACTAAGCTTCAATAGGGGTTAGCTAAGCTTCAATAGGGGTTAACTAAGCTTCAATAGGGGTTAACTAAGCTTCAATAGGGGTTAACTAAGCTTCAGTAGGGGTTAACTAAGCTTCAATAGAGGTTAACTAAGCTTCAATAGGGGTTAACTAAGCTTCAATAGGGGTTAACTAAGCTTCAATAGGGGTTAACTAAGCTTCAATAGGGGTTAACTAAGCTTCAATAGGGGTTAACTGAGCTTCAATAGGGCTTAACTAAGCTTCAATAGGCTTAACTAAGCTTCAATAGGGGTACCTTAACTAAGCTTCAATAGAGGTTAACTAAGCTTCAATAGAGGTTAACTGAGCTTCAATAGGGGTTAACTAAGCTTCAATAGGGGTTAACTAAGCTCCAATAGGGGTTAACTATGCTTCAATAGGGGTTAACTAAGCTTCAATAGCGGTTAACTAAGCTTCAATAGGGGTTAACTAAGCTTCAATAGGGGTTAACTAAGCTTCAATAGAGGTTAACTAAGCTTCAATAGGGGTTAACTAAGCTTCAATAGGGGTTAACTAAGCTTCAATAGGGGTTAACTAAGCTTCAATAGGGGTTAACTAAGCTTCAATAGGGGTTAACTAAGCTTCAATAGAGGTTAACTAAGCTTCAATAGGGATTAACTAAGCTTCAATAGGGGTTAACTAAGCTTCAATAGGGGTTAACTGAGCTTCAATAGGGGTTAACTAAGCTTCAATAGGGGTTAACTGAGCTTCAGTAGGGGTTAACTGAGCTTCAGTAGGGGTTAACTAAGCTTCAATAGGGGTTAACTAAGCTTCAATAGGGGTTAACTAAGCTTCAATAGGGGTTAACTAAGCTTCAATAGAGGTTAACTAAGCTTCAATAGGGGTTAACTAAGCTTCAATAGGGTTTAACTAAGCTTCAATAGGGGTTAACTAAGCTTCAATAGGGCTTAACTAAGCTTCAATAGGGCTTAACTAAGCTTCAATAGGGGTTAACTAAGCTTCAATAGGGATTAACTAAGCTTCAATAAGGGTTAACTAAGCTTCAATAGGGGTTAACTGAGCTTCAATAGGGGTTAACTAAGCTTCAATAGGGGTTAACTGAGCTTAAATAGGGGTTAACTAAGCTTCAATAGGGGTTAACTAAGCTTCAATAGGAGTTAACTGAGCTTCAGTAGGGGTTAACTAAGCTTCAATAGGGGCTAACTAAGCTTCAATAGGGATTAACTAAACTTCAATAGTGGTTAACTAAGCTTCAACAGGGGTTAACTAAGCTTCAATAGGGTTACCAAAGCTTATTCCTCGAGTAATATTGATAATGGGTTGAGCGAATATTTATTTTTAATGGGTTTGGGTTTGAAAAGGACCTGCCTAGTATGGGCCAGTAGGCCTGCTGCAGTGTTCCACCTTTCTTATGTATGGTAGTATCCCATGGTGGTACCATGGGGAGGGGAGGAGGGTAGGCCTACCATATCATGCTGCAGTTAATATGACATGCGGGAGCCCTCAATCCGTATGGGTCACAGCACAAGGGCTGCAGGCCTACTGGCCCATGCTAGGCAGGTCCTTCAAATAGCTAGAATAAGACAGGTGTGAAACACTTCAGATGTTTCGCCCACTAGGACGATACAATATGATAACTGTATACCATACCGACAAGTAGATAAGACTTATGTACAACACTTGGTATATCTTACCAAACGTTTCGCCCACCGTATTACGAAAAGTTTCGCCCACCGTATTACGAAACGTTTCGCCCACCGTATTACGAAACGTTTCACCCACCGTATTACGAAACGTTTCGCCCACCGTATTACAAAACGTTTCGCCCACCGTATTACGAAACGTTTCGCCCACCGTATTACGAAACGTTTCATCCACCGTATGATTATACTGGACGAAAATTGAATCAAATAATTATAATTATAACCATAATGTTTAAAGGGGTGGAGGGGTAAGCCAGCGGAAGGCCTCGGTCAGGTGGCCAAAAGCTCTAGTGGCGGGTCATCATGTGACCAAGACCCACGTCAGTAAACACGTGTCCTGTTTCCTGACCAACCTCACCAGAGAAAGGTATCGCCTGCTCAACAGGCAGAAGAGAGAATAGTGTGAATATATGGGTTACAAAACAGTGGCTTCTTCAGTCCAATGCAAAGTTTGAGGTAATCAGTCCCTGGGCTTCAGTAGGTGCTCCAGTACTGACTTATTTCTGCACCGAACTGAAAAACGTCTTTAAAATCAAAGTATGAGGCCAGGTCATGGACCGGGCTGCAGGGGCGTTGACCCCCGCAGCACCCTCCAGATATACCCAGGTAAGGCAGAGTGCTGAGAAGAAAGGAAAACTCATTTAAATTTCCCGGCTGTAAACCTGACTTCCACTATGGCCCCGCCCCTAATAAACCCCCTAACAACGCTGCGTGCTCCACTCCTTCCCCTGGCTCCACTCACAAGTGTCCATTTTCAGGGTTCTGCACTAGACTGATTTGCCCCCTGGGGGCGAAACGGCCTTTGAAAAGTACCCCACTGTTGCATGTTTCTCTTAAGATCAAAAAGGTAAAGTGAGGTACTCACGGCTTATGGTGTATGCAGAGTGCACAGTGAGCAGATGAGTGCATCATATCCTGTGATCCCCCGGAGGGGAGAATAGCCGGGTTCACTGTAACCAACACAATCGTTTTTTTTTTATTATATTCGATTTTATCATGATTATAATTTATTATTTTAATTATTATTATTATATATTATTATTATTTTTATTATTATTACTGGGGAAAAATAAACTCATATGGCAAAAATATTGGGGGAATGAAAAGGGAAATTAGGCTTTATTGAAGGTGAGTGGTAGCTCCAATTCCCTTTGTCAAGACCCCTTTCCCCGCAGCAAGGCATCCACCTGAAGGGTGTAAAGCATGCTGTAGTGAGCCCCGGGGGAAACCCGTACAGGTTAGTTTTGGGGGTTTTAAGCCCACAACTACACGAGGGGCAGCAAAGGGATCACCCTAGCCTCTTAAAACCCCAGACAGAATAATTTTTAAAACCTAAAATAGGGACTAAAATTCAGTGTATATACGCGAGATGTGTATACCGTTTTTATAAAAACGCTGAGATGTGAAAACCGTGTAATACCGAATTTATACCTCTGTTATATAAGCGAGATGTGATACCCTGTGTATTATGCTGAATGTGTATACCCGTGTAATACGCGAGTGTGTATATTTTTGTGATATACGCTGAGATGTGAATACCTCTGGTATTACACCGAGATGTGTATACCCTGTTATATACGCTGAGGATGTGTATACCGTGTATATACGCTGAGATGTGTATACCTGTGTATTCGCTGAGATGTTATACCTTGTGTATATACGCTGAATGTGATTTTTGTGTATATACGGAGAATGTGTTATTTCTGTGTTTTACCCGGGAGTGTGAATCCCTGTGTAAACGGAGATGTGTATACCTGTGTATAACCTGAGATGTGTTACCCCCTGTTATAACGCGAGATGTGTATACCTCTGTGTAAAAATCGTGAGTGTGTATACCTCATGTATATACCGAGATGGTAATATTTCGTGTATATACGCTGGATGTGAAACCTTGTGTATTCCTAGTTTTGTATACCCCTGTGTATTTTAAACCCGAGATGTGAATACCCTGAGTAATACGCTGAATGGGTATACCTCTGGTTATACGCGAGAAAGTGTATACCTGTGTTAACGCGAGATGTGTAACCCCAGTGGGTTTTTCGCGAGATGGTATACCTCTGTGTATATAGCTGAATTGTAAAAAAAATCTTGTTAAAAAGTGAGATGTGTTACCTGTGTATATACGGAGATGTGTTTCCTCATGTTATCCCTGAGTTGTATACCTGTGTATATACGCTGAGATTGTATAAACCGTGTATTACGCGGAAAGTGTTTCCTTGTGTATATACGCTGAGATGTTTTACCTCTGTGTATATACGCGGATGTGTATACCTCTGTGTTATACGCGAACTGTAACCTTGGCATATACGGCTGAGAAAAGTGTAACCTCTGTGTATAAACGCTGGATGTGATATTTTCTGTGTAATCGCTAGTGTGTTTTTCCTGTTATATACGCTAAGATTTAACCTCTGTGTATAACGCCCGAGATGGTATATCTCGTGTATATACGCTGAGATGGTATCTTCTGTGTTATATACGCTGAATTGTAACTTCTGTTATTACGCGAGATGTGTATACCCGTGTATATACGCTGAGATTGTATATCTCTGTTAATACGCTGGGGTTGTAAACTTCGGAATACGCTGAGTGTGTATACCAGTTAATACCGAGATGTGATATCTTGTAAAAAAGTGAGATGTGATACTTTTGTATATACCTGAGATGTGTATACTTCTGTGTATACGCGAGACGCGTATACCTGTGTATATACGCCTTTAGGTGTAATTCTGTTTAATACGCTGAGTGTGTATACCTGTGTATATACGCTGAGATGTGTATACCTGTGTATATACGTGGTGTGTAAAACCTTGTTATACGCTGAGATGTGTATACCGTGTATAACGCGAATGTGTATACCTGTGAATACGCTGAGATGTGTACACCCATGAAAATCGCTGAGATGGTAACCTGTGTATATACGCTGAAATGTGTATACCCGTGTATATACTGAGATGTGTATACCTGTGTAATCCTGAATGTTATACCTTTATATACGCTGAGAGGTATACCTGTGTATATACGCGAGATGTTATACCTCTGTGTATATTCCTGAGATGTGTATACCTGTGTATTACGCTGAATGTGATACCTGTGTATAACCTGAGGTGTATTATCTGGGTGTATAACCCGTAAGAAATATAGAGTGTTGAGGGGGATTACCAAACTTCGGATATACTGAACCAAAACTGCTGGGTGGTGGATATACCAAACTTCGGTATACTGAACCACCTGTCCCGGGGGGTGGATATACCAAAATTTCGGATATAAATGAACACACTGTCGGGTGGTGGATATACCAAACTTCGGATTAATGAACCACACTGTTGGGTGGGGATAACCAAACTTCGGATATACTGAACCACACGTCTGGGTGGGGGATATACCCAAAATTCGGATATACGAACCCACTGTCTGGGTGGTGGATATTCCAAACTTGGATAACTGAACCACACGTTGGGGGGGGATATACCAACTTCGGGATAAATGAAAACCCCACGTCTGGGTGGGGGATTACCAAAATTCGGATTACTGAACCACACGTCTGGGTGGTGGATATACCAAATTCGGATATACTGAACCACCTGTCGGGTGGTGGATAACCAAACTTTTTGGATATAGAACCACCCGTTGGGGGGTGGGTATACCAAACTTCGGATATACTGAACCACACTGTTGGGTGGGGATAACCCAAAATTCGGGTAACTGAACCAAAACGTCTGGGGGGTGGGTTAAACCCAAAATTTTATATACTGAACCACCTGTCTGGGTGGGGGGATATACCCAAAATTGGAAATTTCGAACCACACTGTCTGGGTGGTGGATATACCAAACTTTTGGTTATATACCACACTGTCTGGTGGTGTATACAAACTTCGATATACTGAACCCACTGTCGGGTGGGGATATCCCCAAAAAATTCGGATAACTGAACCACACTGTCTGGGGGGGGATTAAACCCAAAATTCGGATATACGAACCACACTGCTGGGGGGTGATATACCAAACTTCGGATAAATGAACCACACGTCTGGGGTGGGGATATTCCAAAAATTTTGGTATACTGAACCCATGTCTGGGGTGGTTACCAAACTTCGGTAACGAACCACATGTCTGGGTGGTGGATAACCAAACTTGGATAAACGAACCACACTGTCTGGTGGTGGATATACCAAACTTCGGATAACTGAACCACACGTCTGGGGGGTGGATATACCAAAAGTCGGAATAAATGAACCACCCGCTGGGGGTGGGTATACCAAATTCGGATATACTGAACCCACTGTCTGGGTGGTGGAATATACCAAACTTGGGATATACTGAAAACCCCAAAGCTGGGGGGGGGATATCCAAACTTCGGGTATAACTGGAAAACCACACTGTCTGGGTGGGGATATACCAAAATTGGTATACTAAACCCACGTTGGGGGTGGATATACCAAATTCGGATATACTGAAACCCCACTGTCTGGGTGTGGGAATACCAAACTTCGGATAACTGAAAACCCCACTGTCTGGGTGGTGGGAAACAAAACTTTGGATAACTAACCACACTGTTGGGTGGTGGATATACCAAACTTCGGATATACTGAACCACACTGCTGGTGGTGGATATACCAAACTTCGGTATACTGAACCCCCCTGTCTGGGTGGTGGATATACCAAAATCGGATAACGAACCACACTGTCTGGGTGGTGGTTAAACCCAAAATTCGGGTTAAGAACCACACCCGTCTGGGTGGGGGTATACCAAAAAATTCGGATATACGAAACCCCACTGTCTGGGGGGGTGGATATACCAACTTCGGGTAAAGAACCACACTGTCTGGGTGGTGGATATCCAAACTTCGGGTATACTGAACCCACTGTCTGGGTGGTGGATATACCAAATTCGGGTATCTGAAAAACCACACTGTCTGGGTGGTGGGTAACCAAACTTTGGGGTATACTGAACCCCCTGTCGGGTGGTGGATTAAACCCAAAATTCGGGAAACGAACCCACTGTCTGGGGGTGGGTATACCAAACTTTGGATTACGAACCACACTGTCTGGGGGGTGGTATACCAAAACTTCGGATTACTGGGAACCACACGTTGGGGGGTGGGATAACCAAAATTCGGAAAATGAACCCACGTCTGGGGTGGGGATAACCAAAAATTCGGTATACGAACCACACTGTTGGGGGGTGGAATACCAAACTTCGGATATACTGAACCACACTGTCTGGGTGGTGGATAACCAAACTTCGGATATACTGAAACCCACTGTTGGGTTGGGGGTATACCAAAATTGGGTAACGAACCACACTGTCTGGGTGTGGATAACCAAACTTCGGATATACTGAACCCCACTTGGGTGGGGGGAATCCCAAATTTGTTATATGAACCACCTGTTGGGTGGTTGGATATACCAAAATTCGGATATACGAACCACACGTCTGGGGGTGGGTATACCAAAGGCGGATTACTGAACCCCCATGTCTGGGTGGTGGATTACCAAACTTCCGAATATGAACCCCACTGTCTGGGTGGTGGATATACCAAACTTGGGTATACTAACCACACTGTTGGGGGGTGGGTATACCAAAAATTCGGATATACTGAACCACACTGTCCCCGGGGTGGGTTCAACTTTGGATATACGAACCACAGTGTCGGTGGTGATATACCAAACTTGGGTTACGAACCACACTGTCCTGGGTGGGGATATACAAATTCGGATATACTGAACCACACTTCTGGGGGTGGTTACCAACTTGGGTATACGAACACAAGTCGGTTGGTGGAATACCAAACTTTGGATATACTGAACCACACTGTCTGGGTGGTGGGGGATACCCCAAATTCGGATAACTGAAAACCCCCACTGTCGGGGGGGGGATATACCAAAAATTCGGATTACTGAACCCCCACTGTCGGGGTGGTGGATATACCAAACTTTCGGGTTACTGAAC